TTCCTTCCTTCCTTCCTTCCTTCCTTCCTTCCTTCCTTCCTTCCCTTTTTGCTATTGTTTTGATTTTTTGTTTGTTTCATTTGTTTTCTTTTTTTATTGGGCAGTTCTCTTTTCTCTCGTTTCCTACTCTTGTTCTCTGAAACTCCATAGGTTTCCTTCAGTCCGCTGTGGTTTCTCAGAGCTCCCTAGCCCACCCTGTTCTGCAGTGCCCTGAGCTCAGCAGAGCTTCCCAGTCTCCCTCCACTGTAAGCCTGCTTCTCAAAGGCCTGGTGCAGGTTAGGAGCTGTAGCCTCTCTGTCAGGCTCTTCCTCAGGCTCCGCTGTTACCTCAGCTCTGGACACTCACCGGTGTCCCATGCATTCACGGGGCATCTGCTTATCTCTGTCCTGGAGCTTATCTTTGACCTTCACCCTAAAAGGAGGGACAGAAGGCACAACCCTCTCTCATGTGAAAGGCTCATTATTTTTTGGAGATGATGGATTTATTTGTGTTCTTGACTCTGGTGAATTTTAAAAAATGTCTGTTCCTTTTGGGCTTAAAAAGATTAGAACATATTGATTGTACAAAATAAGGGGCTTTGCCTTGATGTTTCCATAAGGTATCCACTACACCTTGATCATATTCATCTTCTCTATTGCCCTGTTGGAAAAAAAAATTGTGTGTATGTTTGGCATGCATCCATGGAAGTTTGTGTGCTCATGTTTGTGCGTAAATGCAGGTGCTTGTGCCAAGGTGTCCTGTGAAGTCAGGGAACAGGTTCAGGTATTGGCCCTCTACCTTGTTTGAGACAGGGTCTCCTTTTGATGTTGTGCCACAGGGCTACCTGTCCTATGAGACTCTGGCAAATCCTGTTTCTGCCTCTCATCTTGCTGTAGGGGTGCTGAGACTATCAAGATGTTCTACTGTCCATAGCTTCACCTTCACACGGTGTCTTAGAATTTCAGTTGCTGTGGCAAAACATCACGGCCGAAAGCAAGTCGGGGAAGAAAGGGTTTACCCTGCGTACATTGACACATCCCCGTTCATCACTGAGGGAGTCAGGAACTCAAACAGGGCAGGATCCTGGAGGCAGGGCTGATGCAGAGGCCATGGAGGAGTGCAGCTCACTGGACTGGCTTGCTCCCCGTGCCATATTCAGCCTGCTTTCTTATAGATCCCAGGATCATCATCCCAGGGATGATCCCAACCACAATAGGCTGGGTAACCCCACATCAATCACTAATTAAGAGAATGCTGTACAGGCTTGCCTACAGCCCAATCTTATAGAGGCATTTCCTCAGCTGAGGCTCCCTCCCCTCTGATGACTCTAGCTTGTGTCAAGTTGACATAAAACTAACCAGGGCATGTGGGTTTGGGGATCTGAACTCAGGTCCTTGTGTTTGCACAGCAAGCACTTTACCCTCTGAGCAGTTATCCCCAGCACTCTTGTTGCCTGCGTGCCTGCTGCCTGCCTGCCTGTATGTATGACTGTCTGCCTGTATGACTGTCTGTCTGCCTTTCTTTGTTTATTTCTTCCCTTTTCTGTTCTTTTCTTTTCTTTTCTTTTCTTTTCTCTTCTTTACCTTCAAGACTTTCCCCACCCATGGATTCCACTTATGAAAGAAAGCATGTGGCATTTATTCTTATGTGGCTGACTAATTTCTCTTATTTGGTGTATCTTCTTTATGGCTGCATAAAGACTCTATTTTGTTTACAAATCATATATCCTTGTTCATCTGTTGATGGACATCTAGGCTGCTTATATAACATGGAAATAGAGCCACAATGCAGAGAATCCAATGTTTCTGGAGTGTTCTGAATAATAATTTTGGGTATACATCAAGAGGCAATATAGCTGACTCATATGGTGGCTCTGTTTTCAGTCTATTGCCATTTCCCTTGGTTACCTACTGTACTCACACAGTAAGACCCTGTTTCTTTTTTTAAAATTTTATTGGATATTTTATTTACATTTCAGATGTTATCCCCTTACCCCATTTCACCCCCACCCCCTGCCACCCAGGAACTCCCTATCCCATCCCCCTTCTCCTGTTTTTATAAGTATGTGCTCCCACCTACCCTCCCACTCCCACCTCCCCCTCCATGGTTCCCCCCCCCATTGGGTGTCCAGCCTTCATGGGACCAAAGATCTCCTTTCCCACCTATACAAGACCCTGTTTCTAAAGGTATGATGTAGTGTCAGGAGCCATAGTAGGACAAGCTAATAACTAGCAGGTGATCTTGCTGAGATAGTCTGCTTCAGATTATAATATAATCTGCAACAGATTTGTTCTTATTAGGCAAGGTCCTAAGACAATTCACTTTAGGAAGGATTTCTACTATTAATATGCTTTTCCTGTTGTTATTAAACATATATAACAATCACTAGGTATTAGTCCACCCCACCTTCTTAAAAATTTATTTATTTTATGTATGTGAGTACACTTTCACTGTCTTCAGACACACTAGACGAGGCCATCAGTTCTCATTATAGATGGTTGTAAGCCATCATGTGGTTGCTGGGAATTGAACTCAGGACCTCTGGAAGAGCAGACGGTGCTCTTAACCACTGAGCCATCTCTCCAGCCCTAACCTACCCCTTTTGAGCAGATCTCTGTAGAGACCCCCCCCACACCTGGAGCTGGCCCCTGGCAGTGCAGGACACAGAGATACCAATCTCAAACCAACCAGGAAGCTTCCTTCCTATTAGGTAGCTTTCATAGTGCTGGAAGGTACTGTGCAGGCTGTGGAGGGAGAAAAATGACCATGGTCTTTCCCACTGCTGGATCCTGCATGCCACATATTCCTCCCATGCAAGATCTGCCTGCTAGTGCAATTGCTATTTGATAGGAATCGAAAGCAGCCTCATGGGAAGAAGTTCCTATAATCCTGGTCAAAAGCCCATGGCTGGAGGAGAAATCATGGTCCTTAGAGTAGACTCTACTATTTTTATCTTTGTCAAATTCCCTCTAAAAATTTATGTTTCTGCTGATGGACTTGGGCTACTCTTTGGTCAGAGAGGCTTCTTTTGTGGTGGGCAGCAGTCAATGGAAAGATACATATCTGATCACAGTGCTAGGGAGCGAGTGCTACTAAATACAGACTGTATACAAGAAAAATGAAAAGAACAAAGCAAATCCTCTCTATGTAAGGACCCCAAAGAGGACCCCAACTCAAGTCCCGATCAGCACGCACCCAAGGAGACACGAGAGACTGACTTGATGCAAATGGCAAAAGGCAGTTTACTAATGAGGACCCTCAGATCGAAACTCATCCCACGCAGGGGAGAGAATTTCGATGAAGACCCCAGGAAGTTTAGAACTTTTATAGGGAGAGGCACAAGGGGGAAGGGAAAAGCGGGAAATTCTGGCGCGGTTACATATAATTGGATATTTCAAACATCAGCACTTTGCATAAGCAATCATTTTGACAGGCTGGATGGCCCACTATTTTTGACCATGAAACCTCAGACCTTCTAGGATAAACACCAGGTGGCCCATTACTCACTTGGGCATGTTTAAACTGGTCAAGATATGTCTTTGGTTGTTTCTACATTTCTGGTCACCTTGTCCCTAGAGGGGCTTGATATTTTTATTATGGCTATTTTCAGCAAGCTCAGCAAGCCATCTGGCGGTCTTTGCCAAGTTGTTTTTAATTTTTACTCTCACATCTAACCTAAAAAATGAAGAATGAATACTCAGCACAGAATCTGCAAGATAGCATAAGACCAGATCTCAGAGAATAGGAAAGATGTGGGGGGGAGCCATTGGAGAGGAAGTAGGAGAGTTAGCACAGACATCCACTGCCAGAAGAATACAGCATGTGAGAAAGTTGGCATGGAGAGAATAGAACATCACCTAGTGTTATTCAAGAGTCCCTAGCACCGACAGACACACCCTCTAGGTTCATAATCTTCCCTGTCATGCATAGGATTGGGTGATGACCCAGCAGGGCACCGCAATCACAGAGCAGAGATCTACTCAAGAGATCCTTGAAGCTCCCAGAGAAGGAGGGACAGATTCCTCCTTCCTAGAAGGTATGGGGTGAGACACACTGGAATGCTCTGGAGTAAATATGACATAAACACCAGGAGGCTGGCACATACCTTCAAGCTCAGAACACAGGAAGCAGAGGCAGACCGGTTTCTAAGCTTGAGTTCATTCCTGCATACTTTATCTCAATCAGCCAACCAACCAACCAACCAACCAACAAACAAACAAACAAACAAAATGAAAAGAAGGAAAGAAAAAAAGAAAGGAAGGAAGGATGGAAGGAAGGAAGGAAGGAAGGAAGAAAAGGAAAGAAAAAAGAAAAGAAAGAGCAATTTGGTCTCCATTCTGGGAAGTTTTTTGATCCAAACAAGTTACTGGTCAAATTTCTGGGTCAGAATTAAGACTTTTTTTTCCAGATACACTGATCTTCAAATGATGTGTCTGTCAACCTTTCTTTCTTAGGACACCCATGGTCTGTGCCATCTGAGCAAGGTAAACCAAGGAAAACCTCTGGCTCTGCTGAACAGTTCAGAAAGGCAGCCATAAGCCTTGCATTCTCAAAGAACTTTCCAGGTGACAGCAGGCTCAGAGGCAGAGGAAAAATCCCCTCAGAGATCATCATCCTGGGAGAGATGCCAAAGCCAGCAGGACTGCAAGACACAGACTTCTGGGACCACAGAACAACTGGATAAGATCAGCTTACAGTCCTGAGACTATGCTGAGAGGAATCCTAGGGCTATGGTGATCAGCAAAGGTGGGTGTTGCAGGATATTGATCACATTGTGAACCCTGAGATTGTGTTATTCACTGAAAAGTCCTGTTTCTAGTTGTAGTGTGGCTCAGGCCTTAACACATACCTTTAATCCCTCTGGCTAGAATATACACATACAGCCTTAGTACATACCTTTAATCCTAAACAATCTAGATAAATTTAGTTTGTAGGAGGAAGTGTTTGAAAGTGATGTCTAATTGAGTGGCAGACAAAGTGACAAATAAGAGAAAGATTTGACAGAATAAGATATGCCCAACTCTCATGAAAAGAGAGGAAAGGGAAGCTACTTAAGAGAGGAGAGAGAGAGAGAGAGAGAGAGAGAGAGAGGGGAGGAATATAAAGAAGAGAGAAGAAAGGGGAGATTTTTACTGGGACAGTTATAGAGAGACAGGTTGCAGAGAGAGAACAAGCTAGACACACTTGAAGACAGAATGAGCCAGAGAATGAGAAGGAACCAGAAGATTAGAACAAATTGTTAGTGTTAGTTTGAGGCCAAGCAGAGCACTTTAGGAGAAGCTGAGAGAGAAAGAAGCCAGATTAAATTAGCTTGGAGAGGAGGAGTTTTGAACTAGAACAGCTGAGCTGACCAGGCAGCAAGTGCTCAGAAAGAACTAGAAAAGGTGAGCTTATTCAGCAGCAAGTCTTAGAGGCTGAAAACATTTTAGGCCTACATAAGATTGTACAGAGTCTAGAAGCTTCCAGGACTAGGCCTAGGTTAGTAGACAGAGGTAGTAAGCCTCTGAGATGACAGTTAATACAGGAGAATAAAAGTTGCATTTAGAGGTGGGCGCTTGAAGCCCAAGCTCACCTTTTGATATTCAATTCCTGTATATAGTGATATGTTAAGACAATACTCAAGACAATTAAAAAGAAAGCCATCAAAATAGGTGTATTAGTTCCATTTTTTGAGGCAGTGACGACTATTTTCATGAGTGTTAGGCATATCCTATTCCATCAAATCTTTCTCTTATTTGTCACATTGTCTGACACTCAATTAGACGTCACTTTCAAGTACTGCCATGACCAATGGTAATTTACAGAATAACTTGTTTTGATTTATCCAGATGGAAATTCTATCATGGCAGAGGCATGGCATGGCATGGCAGCAGAAGCAGGAAGCTGGCTGATAGCATTTCATCTGTGCATAGGAAACAGAGCATCAGCAGAAAAGTGGGCTGAAGCTATAAACTATCAAAACCTTCCAGCATTGCTGTACTTTTTCCAGCAAGGTTCTACCTCCTAAAGGTTTTATAACCTTTCCAAACAGTGCCACCAATAGAATACCAGGTGTTTAAATATATGAGCCTAGGGAGGATATTTCTCATTCAGATTACTATAGTAGCACAAGAAACCAATCAAAATGTTTAAATTTGAGGTAGGAGATGGCTTTTTGGTTTATTTATTATAATGAAACTTATTTATCTTTTGACAACTTTACTGTAGGATGGTTAATGTTCAATGTCAACTTTACAGAATCTAGACTCCCCTGGGAGGTGGGCTTCTGGACATGTCTGTGTGGGATTATCTTTATTTCATTACTTGAGATAGGATGAACTGCCCACTGTGGGTGGCACCCCTCCCTGGCTTTGGTCCTGGACTGTGTAACTAGAGAGAGGGAGCTGAAGAGTAGCAGAATTCATCAATCTCTGCTTCCTGGTTGTTCAAGCTCTTGCTGTCTTAACATCCCTGATATGATGGACCATATCCAGGAGCTGCCAGAATAAACTGTTTCCTCCTTAAGTCGGCCTTTGTTGCAGTATTTTATCACAATGACAGGAAAGGAAACTATGACACATGAGTAAAGCAGACAAATATAAAACTATGTCAGAGAAAGAGAGGGAAGGAAGCAGGAAGAAGGAGAGAAAAAAGTGAGGGAGGGAAGAGGAAAGGGAAGAAATAACAAAGGAAGGAAGGAGGGAGAAGTGTAGGGAGGAAGGCAGGGAGTGAAGAAGGCAGGAAGGAAGGCAGGAGGAAAGCAGGGAGTGAGGAAGGCAGGGAGGAGGACAAGGAAGAAGTCAGGAGGAAGGGAAGAAGGTAGGGAGGAAGGCAGGGAGGAGAGCAGGAGGAAGGCAGGAGGAAAGAGGGTTGGAAGAAAAGAAAGGAAAGGAGGGAAGAATGGGAATAGAGGAAGGGGAAATGAAAGAAGAAAGGAAAGGGGAAGTAGAAGGAGGACAATAAGATGCATTACAGAGCAGTAATTACTGTGGGAGAGATACACACAAAGGCAGATAGTCACGTAGAATGGAAAATAAGAGTCCAATTTTTGTATTTTGTGAGTGTTTTGCCTGCATGTATGCACCATGTACATGCAATGTCCTCCTGAGATGAGTGCATCAGATACCCTGAAACTAGAGTTACAAGTGGTTGTGAGCTGCCGTGTGGGTGCTTGGAAGTGTACCAGGGCCCTCTTCAAGAGCAGGCCATGCTCTTAAGTGCTGAGCCATCTCTTCAGCTCCAGGAGAGTCTGTTTCATACAAAAAGAACCTCGGAACTCATGTAAATAACTTCTCACACATGCCCATGCAAGCAATCCTGATTAAATACATGGACACATGGACACTGAATGTAGAAGAGGGACTAACTGGGGAGAGGAAGGCAATCATTGGGAATGGGAGATGACAAAATTGGACAATGTGGGAGTCAAATAGAATAAAACTATATGTGCATGAAACTCTGTGTGTGTGTGTGTGCGCGTGCATGCGTGTGTGTGTGTGTGTGTGTGTGTGTGTTAGGGGAGCCTAGAAAATCCTGAGAGCATGAAGCTTCTGTCTCCACAGTGGACAGGAAAATCAACATGGGGGTTACAGAACAACAAGGGAAGAAAGAGCAAGGGGAGCCAAAGATGGGGCTTCTGTTTTGCAGTAGAGAACAAATGGGATTTTCCCAGCATCCCTCCTAAACACACACAAGGAAGTGACCATGTGCTCCAGGCAGCCAGCACACAGAGATATAAGAGTTCCTGGAGGAGAGGTCACCACATTCCTCCTTCTCCACCTGCTCTTCTTACCTGCACCACCTCCAACCAAACACCAGAACCATGAGCTGCTGTGGCTGTTCAGGAGGCTGTGGCTCCAGCTGTGGGGGCTGTAGCTCCAGCTGTGGGGGCTGTTGCTCCAGCTGTGGAGGCTGTGGCTCAGGCTGTGGCTCAGGCTGTGGGGGCTGCGGATCCAGCTGTTGTAAGCCTGTGTGCTGCTGCAAGCCTGTGTGCTGCTGTGTGCCTGTCTGTTCCTGCTCCAGCTGTGGAGGCTGCAAGGGAGGCTGTGGCTCCTGTGGGGGCTGCAAGGGAGGCTGTGGCTCCTGTGGAGGCTGTAGTTCCTGTGGGGGTTGTGGCTCCTGTGGGGGCTGCAAGGGAGGCTGTGGTTCCTGTGGGGGCTGCAAGGGAGGCTGTGGTTCCTGTGGAGGCTGCAAGGGAGGCTGTGGCTCCTGTGGAGGCTGCAAGGGAGGTTGTGGTTCCTGTGGGGGCTGTGGCTCTTGTGGAGGCTGTGGTTCCTGTGGAAGCTGCAAGGGAGGTTGTGGTTCCTGTGGGGGCTGCAAGGGAGGCTGTGGTTCCTGTGGAGGCTGCAAGGGAGGTTGTGGTTCCTGTGGGGGCTGTGGCTCTTGTGGAGGCTGCAAGGGAGGCTGTGGCTCCTGTGGATGCTGTGGATCTTGTGGAGGCTGTGGTTCCTGTGGGGGCTGCAAGGGAGGCTGTGGCTCCTGTGGGGGATGTGGCTCCTGTGGAGGCTGCAAGGGAGGCTGTTGCCAGTCCAGCTGCTGTAAGCCCAGTTGTTGCTAGTCCAGCTGCTGCAATCCTTGCTGGCTTTCAGTTGTGGATCTTCATGCTGTCCATCGAGCTGCTCGATTCCCATTTGCTGCCAATGCAAGATTTGAGGTTCTGATTAGAGGTCCACATCATCACATCTATTTGAGCTTTCTGGAGATGAGTCTAGATTGCACCTCAGAATCCTGAAGCTCTAATCTCATTTTGTGATCCAGAAGGTCTTTTCTTGATCTCCAAAGCTGAACATCAATTTGTTGGGCATCAGAAGAGTGCCCAGTCCTCCTGCCCATCCCCTCTAATGGAAAACTCAGATCCTTTTCGATTCCACTCAGAATAAGAATACTTTTCTCGATATCCACAAGCCCCTTAGAGCCCCATCCATTCTTCCATGCCAATAGCAGAAAGGTCAGCCCTGCCATATGCTCACCACTGGCTTCTATGCCTGCTTTCTCTCTTTCTTTTTGCTTTGCTTTTCTTCATTTGGCCCAAATGGGGCACTGCAAAACATTAAATAAACAACAACAAAAAACACCCTTCTTGTTTATGTGATACAATTCTTACAGTGATTTTTTAAAACCATCTTCTGCCCAACAAATGAACCCACCGACACCTTCCCCTTACACCTACCCCCACATGATATCTATGTAACTACTTGAAGAGTAACAATGACTGCTAGGCATGTCCCAGGAAGGCCTTGGGGCCACAGCTGCCAGGAAATCATGGCACTTCTGTTTCGGGGAAAGAAGAGCTGAGGGGTCATACTGAAGATTAGCAGGAGAGGACAAAAGGGGACCAGGACCTTTAAGACTCATCTCAGGAGCTAGTGTTGGGAATGGAAGAGGAGACTGTGCACATGGACATGGGAGGAGGGTGAGTGATCCTCGCATACAGATGTAGAGGAGTCAGAGAGACACCTGTTTGAGGATAGGTGGAGCACTCACAGGCTTGATGGATGGGTGGTGGGAGGGCCCGGGTTCTGTTGTCAGGAGCACATGCATGAACACTCTAACAAGTTGTCTGTTCTTAACACCTCTGCATGCCCATCTGTAAAACAGGGACATCCATATCCCCATGCTGGTTGTGATGGTTTGTATATGCTTAGCCCAGGGAGTGGCATTAGGAGGTGTGGCCTTGTTGAAGTAGGTGTGTCACTATGGGCTTGGGCTTTAAGATGTTCACCCTAGCTGCCTGGAAGCCAGTCTTCTCCTAGCTGCCCTTGGAATAAGAGGTGGAACTCTCAGCTTCTCCAACCCCATGTCTACCTGGACACTGCCATGCTCCCACCTTGATGATAGTAGATGGAACCTCTGAACCTGTAAGCCAGCTCCAATTAAATATTGTCCTGTATAAGAGTTACCTTGGTTATGATGTCTGTTCACAACAGTAAAACCCTAACTAAGACACTGGGTAAAGATGAAATGCCTGAACCATGCAGTATGGAACATACAGATACATAGGCATGTATGAAGGACATGGGACAGAATCAGTACCACTGAAACCATGGCTTGAGGAACTGTACTGGGAGGAACGAAGGAGCATGCAGAAGGCTGCTGGGGTTTGGTTATTTAAATGATACTAAGTGAGGGTGAGTCTGGAGGCTCCTTCTCTATTTGGGAATTGTTAAAAGATTAACCAAACACAGAGGCCTGGAAGTGGGACAGCTGAGCTCACATATTATGTGGCTGCTGGCTTAAGGATCAGTGTCTCTCTCTCAGTTTGGGTGGTGGGTTCAGAAAACTTCCTGGCTCAGTGTATATAGCATGAAGGCTTCTGGCCTGTGTAGTCCCCGTTGCTGATTAACAGAACCAATTACAAACTCAGACTTCAAACCACATGCATTTTAATCTCTTAGAGTCTGTGTTTCTCAACCCCAATTGGAGGTAAACTGTGTTCACTCCCCAAGGCTGCACTAAAGTCACTGCTGAGGTGTACCTTGTGCTCGGGGTCCCACCCAGAGCTCAGAGCCCTCTCCTACATGTGTTCTTTAAAGAGTTATCTGTTATAGTATCAAGTTCCTCATTTTCCTGAGAGTTGTCTGCCAGTGACCCTCCTCATCAGCTGAAGGGTCCTTGTCTTGTTAGCCATTCTCAACATCTTCTTTGGTTGCAGTGTCTCTCTGACATCTCTCTTCAAGGCCCTTGGGATGGTGTATATTGGTGGTCTGGATTCAGATGCTCAGGCTAAGTGAGACACAGGGAAGTTTGAAGAGAGGGTTGATCTGGAGTAATGAAGGGGGAGGAGAAAGACATGGCCTGAATGTGCATGCTACTGTTCAGTGGGCTCCAGGTTTTAATGGAAGGGGGAGAAAGAAGAGGGAATCAGTGTGTGTACACATGCATGTGTGCAAGCTCCGACTTCTCCCTCACTGAGTTCATCCATAGCTGCCATTGCCATGGCCAGACTCCAGGTTCTTCAGACTTTCACCATGGACTCAACACAAGTGACTCTTCAGGGAGACTCCAGGCCTTCACCACCTGACTGAGGCTCTATCAATTGGTCTCCCTTGTTCTGCTTGTTCCCTAACCCTAACCCTAACCCTAACCCTAACATCTTGGGCCGACCAGCTACCAGGCTCTCTGCCTCTCCAGCATGCAGACGGCCATTATTGAATTATCCAGCCCTTGTGGTATAAGCTGCCGCTCCCCAGTGTCCGACCAGCGGAATAAGGCAACGACAATAGTGTTCTTCTTCGAGCAGTTTATTCAGCAACCCTTGTATTGTAAGTTTCTTGCGTGCTGCCAGCAGCCACCCACACCACCACCTGTAGCCCCTTAAAGCTTTGCCTCGCTCCTATCAGTAACTGCCACGAGAACACTGGTAATTGGTCACACCGTATGACATGAGGCAGGATGATCGGGCAACCACACCTCTTAGCGCAAGTTTTCCATATATGGAGTTGTTTTTCTCTCAAGCAGTGCCCAGTCATCCTGGCTGGCCTTTTGTCAAGTGCCATCTTATAATGGCACCGGTGGAGCCGCTTCCCACAATAAGCCAATTCAATAAATTCCCCTTTATGACAAACACATGTTATTCTAATCCTGTTTTCCTAAACACTGCCAACTAATACACCTATTTTAGAACTCACATGATTAGTCTGGGATTGCACAGGACAATGTCCTTTTGGGTCAGAGCCACTAACAAAGGGTCTTAATTATACCTACAAACACCCCTTTCTGACAGGCCATCATTCCATGGGTGCAGTCCCTTCATACCACAAATTCCATTCATACATAAGGAGAATTGATATACAATGTGAATCATTTTCACAATTTTGCTGTTACAGGAAAGACATGTTATATTCATAGCACCAGTGGGATGTACAGATGGTGGCATTCAAGAGAGGTTAGTGTGCTGATCTAGAGGTCAGAACAGTCATACCTACAGAAGTTGTTAACTCAGACAATAGCAACAGTAGATAACCAAGACCCTTAGCAGGGACCGCACCTTTCATCAGCATGAAAGGAGGCAACTCATTATCCTTCAGCTTCCCCCAAAGACTTCTGGATCCACAGTTCCCAGGAGGAGGTGTGAAACAGGAAAGTGAGGTGAAAGAGTGAAGTCAAATTTATCACCTGAGAGAGATGGTTCAGTGGCAAAGAGCACACACTGCTCTTCTAGAATACCTGAGTTCAGTTCACAGCTCTCACATCAGGCTGCTCACAACTGCCTGTAACTCCAGCCGAAGCCAGCTCTGTCTTCTGGGGGGGCACCAGTGCATATGTATGCACAGTGCACATGTACACAAACACATACATAAAGATAAAGAAATCTCTACAAAACTACTGTATGAAAGGATATAGAGAGACAGCTCTGCAGTTAAGAGCACTGGTTGCTTTTACAGAGAACCAAGGTTTGATTTCCAACACCCACAAGACAGCTTACAATCATCTATAACTCCAGTCTCAAGACATCTAACAACCTTGTCTGGTCCCCACAGGCAACCAGGCACACAAGTGGTATACACACACACACACACACACACACACACACATCCATGCACATTAAATACATAATTTCTAAAAATTATGAAAAGGGTACATTTATAAATAAACACGTGAAGGAAACCAGTTGGCATAAAGGAAGACTAAAAATTCCCCACCAGAGGCTAACATGTAACAATGCAGAAAAAATCATAGGCCATACAAAAACCTTGGAAGGTCCCAGGCTGAGGAGAGTGGGCACCCTGAGTTTCCAGCCTATATCCCAGCTCCTTCCCTCATTTCCCCTTGGAAGTGCACTTTTCCTTAATGAATTATCCCTACTTCTAACCACTACACACGTCTCCATTCAGTTCCTTTAATTTTTTATTTCTTCTTTATGAGTTTCACCCCATGCACCCCAGTCCCACTTATTTTCCCTCTACCCTTGCAACCTCCCCCCACCTACTAAAAAAGCACACAGACAAACAAACAAAGCATAGAAAGCAGCTCATCATGGAAGCTGTAGTGTGTAGTGTGTAGTGTGTAGTGTGTAGTGTGTAGTGTGTCCCACAGTACACCCCTCTTGCCACACATCTTCACTTGCAAATGTTCTTTACAAGGAGTCTGGTTTGAGGTCTCTGGCTTCTGTGACACCATCATATGGGATCCTCACTGGGACTCCTCAGGGTTATCCTGTTGTTGCCCTGTGTCATGGAGATCCTGAAGTTTTGAATCAGCAGGACCGGGTCGTTCATACACCCAACAGTTCACAAATGATGTAGATTTAAGTGTGAACCAACTCAAAGCCCTATATCTGGGCCTGTGTGGCAGCTGAGTTGGTCAGCCGGCTGGCTCTCACTGGAGCACCACCAGGGGGAGTGCTTCAGCACTGCTTGGGCAAACTCACTCAATGCTACAACCGGCTGGGTTAGCTCTCCTGCTCTCATGCCCTCAGGGCTGGCTCACCCACATCCACACCTCCAGAACCAGCTACACTGTGTTGCCCAGTTGGGGTGGAGGTCCACTCTTCCAAGTGCTCCAGCCTGCGAGGGACTGAGTCAGCTCTCCCGCTCTCAAACCCTGGGGGATGGCTCACCTGTGCCTTTGCCATCAGGATCAGGTGCATGGTGTTGCTCAGTGAGATGCAGGACCCACTCTCCTGAGTGCTACAGCCAGTGAGTGGCATGGCTAGCTCTCCTGTGCTCATGCCCTTGGGTTGGGGCAGTTCACCCACGACCTCACCACTTGGGCCAGCTCTACTGTGCTACCCAGGGGAGGTACAGTTTCTACTCTGCAAGGGGCAGCTCTTCCACTCTCAGGGTCTCATGACCCCCGGGAACAGCTTTCCCTACTGTTGGAGATGGTGAGGAGGGAGTGAAGGAGGGCATACCTCAGCGACTGCCCCAACCCACAGCAGATGTCCATTCAACTTCTTATTGCAGTACACAAGAACCTGGTAATCTTGTCAGATACCTGCCAGAATCTGATACTCATTGACAACAGAGAGCTGCTAGTTAAAAGGTAAACTTATATTTTTGATCTCTTAAATTCTATTAATTCTGGGGATATTTGAAAAAATCCATGTCTCAACAGCCAATTTTCCGCTCCCACCTTTCTTCCTTCCTCTCCTCCTTCCCTTGATCCCTCCCTCCTTCACTCCCCACTTCCTTCCTGACTTCTTTCACTTTACCTGGGAGTATATGGAAACATTTGGCTTAGGATGGGTAGACTCTCAGTCCTCTGGGGACATATGCCCCAGTTATGGCTGTGCTCACACCCAGAGGTAGCTAAGATATGTTAACACTCATGTGGCCACAGCCAAAATGGCTCTGATACCACGATAGCAACACCCTCATAGTTGCCCTGGGTCTGGGATACATATGGCTGCTTGATCTCTCAACAATCTGCACTTCCTAAGATGTTTCATGGTGGCCAGAGATTTACATAACCTCACTTTCCCATCCTCAGAGCTTCTTGCTAACTTTGCCCCATGCTCCACAGAGAGTTGTTTTACTTTGTGTACTTCTGGTTCATCATATTCTTCTGACTCTGGATCCTTCCTGTCATTTTGTGCAGTAGGAGTGTCCGACTTTCCAATACTAAGAAACTTAACCATCAAGAAGGAAGCCTCTAGGTCAGCAGCAGCTTGGTTTCTCTGTATTATACTAACAGTGTATGTGGTGTCTTCAGGAACAGGCTCTTAACCATCAAATTCTTGTGAGCAACCAAGAACGTTGACAATAGCTTATACTTGTGTTGTAGAAATATTTAACCTCAATCCGGGGCTTCTACTCTGCCTTTGATATTCAGTTCCTGAATAAAACACACACACACACACACACACACACACACACACACACACACACAACCTTTATATTTATAACAAGCCTTAATCAACACTAGAACTGGGCAGATATCTATCCTCTATGCTCTTATGATTATTTCCCTGCCAATAACTCCACTGTGTGATTTGCCATGTTTTAACAGGGCTGCTCTTAACTCCAGTTAGCCAGTATGCATGGTGATTATTTTAAGTTCTTACCCCATGATGTTTTCTCCTCTCTCCATCTTCCTTGCTTCTTTTGATGGTCTCCTCAGACTCCCAGGTCTGGAACCTCAAACCCCACCTATGTCTCTTCTGCCCAACTATTGGCTGTCAGCATCTTTATTTAACCAATAGTTTTTAAATTAAGGAGCAAGGTCCTATTGTGCATGCAGATTCTCTCCTTCCCGGGGGTAGTCAGGCCTTAGGAGTTAATATTTAGCACTACAATACAAGCAGCAGCAGACCAACCCACTACATCCTTGTCTATGGGGTGGGGTGTCTCCAGACACTTTGGACCAAGAGCTCAAAGAGAAGAATTCAACAACTGGCAGTGGGCTTTTCATTTGGCAACCTGTGGCTTCTTTGAGGACCATTATCCCCTGTACAGAGGAATACAAAGAAACTATTTTATACAAAGCTTATAAGCTAGTAGTGTCTAGAAAATGTGACTTTTAAAGAAGCACAAGGTTATGAAGAGGTAGTGTGAGACCCAGCATGAAAGGCCTGTAGTGCCTTAATAACCAGGTTGGATGGATACTTACCCTCTAAGGAAGGATGCTATTGAACAGTGTGAGCAATTTCCTGACAGGTAATTCTGAACTTCAAAGGTGAAGAAAATGGATGGAGAGTGACCACAGGAGAACTTTGAGTGGTATCTTCCCACCTGTGTAGATTCTCCCCAGGAGCTTCAAACTGTAGAGAATTCATTTATGCCACCCAGCAATGCACAGAACCTCAAATCAGAGCATTGAAGGCTTAGGGAAGAGAGCAGTATGTGTAGGAAGTATGTCACAGGGTATAGCAATGTTTGTGTTTATTTTAAATCACAGCAATGTCCCTGTGGAGGGTATAAAAATAGACATAAGGAAGAAACCTCGGACCAATCAGTCACCTAGAACAAGGATATAAAGACCTCAGGCTGAGGAGGCTCCACACCTGCACACTTCCTCTCCACTTGCTCCTCTGACCTATTCCATCCTCAACCAAACACCAGAACCATGACCTGCTGTGGCTGTTCAGGAGGCTGTGGCTCCAGCTGTGGGGGCTGTGGCTCCAGCTGTGGGGGCTGTGGCTCCAGCTGTTGCAAGCCTGTTTGCTGCTGTAAGCCTGTGTGCTGCTGTGTCCCTACCTGTTCTGGTTCCAGCTGTGGAGGCTGTGGCTCCAGCTGTGGGGGCTGTGGCTCAGGCTGTGGAGGCTGTGGATCCAGTTGCTGCAAGCCTGTGTGCTGCTGTAAGCCTGTGTGCTGCTGTGTGCCTGTCTGTTCCTGCTCCAGCTGTGGGGGCTGCAAGGGAGGCTGTGGCTCCTGTGGGGGCTGCAAGGGAGGCTGTGGTTCCTGTGGGGGCTGCAAGGGAGGCTGTGGTTCCTGTGGGGACTGCAAGGGAAGCTGTGGTTCCTGTGGGGGCTGTAAATCCAGCTGCTGTCAATCCAGTTGCTGCAAGCCCTGCTGCTGCCAGTCCAGCTGCTGCAAACCTTGTTGCTCTTCAGGTTGTGGGTCTTCTTGCTGTCAGTCCAGCTGCTGTAAGCCCTGCTGCTGTCAGTCTAGCTGCTGCAAGCCCTGCTGCTGTCAGTCCAGCTGCTGCAAGCCTTGTTGCTCTTCAGGTTGTGGGTCTTCTTGCTGTCAGTCCAGCTGCTGTGCCCCTGTGTGCTGCCAGTGCAAGATCTGAGGTTAACTAATCCTGCAGACTAGCTCTCTCCAGACAGGCACAGGAGCAGCAGCCCTGGGCAAGTTTAACCCTGGGTCTTCATTCTTTGGTCTTGAAGCTGAATCTCCAGACTGAGGGGTGTGTCCTGGGGCAGAGAAGAACTTCTCTTGCTGGAAGCTCACTCCTCACTCCTCTGATCCACACTCAGTGGATCAGATCTTCATCCACTTCCTTCTCTCCAGTCTCCAAGACTCTGACCTCCTTGGCACCTGGCCTCACCTGGAGGTTACATCAAGTCCACAGGTAGGTGGCAAACTATGGAGATCACAACCTGGGGTCCCAGGAAGCTGTGAACTCCTTTCCATCAAGCACTGGCCTGGCCAGGCCCATCTCTACATGACCTCCTCTGGGTTTCTGATCTTTCTGATTTCTGTGTCTGGGTGAGCACATTGTGCCTTTGATACAAACTTCCTTCAATAAACATTCTCTGCCCGCGGTATTTCTCATGTTGTTCTTTATTCTTGTTACTGACCAGCAATATGTTCCCTTACACATCTTCTGCCCAGTCCGTCTCTGAACCTTCTGTATTAGTCCCTAGTACAGTGTGCATCATTCTGTCCAACCTGCTCGTGAAACCAACCTGAGCACAGCCAGCACAGGGCAGTGGAGAACCAAGGCAGTGGCTTCAGTCTTGGGTAACTTTGAGAATCTGGAAAAAGAGACAACAAAGAGTGCACAATACAGGCACAATATGGCCTAGCTTAGCTGTACACTTGCAAAATCAGGGCTGAGCTTCAGAGGACTTCAGCATGGAGAGTGGCTGGGGGCTCTTGGGGCTTTTAAGGGGTCGGCCTGTTCAAAGCATTTAATACAGGAACCTGCCTTGCTGGTTATGGGAGAGCCAGGAAACAAGCTTGAAATACTTTCTGTTCTCTAGGTCCTAAGAGCCTTGGGTATCACAGCAAGATGTCCTGAAAACTGATCTGAAACTCATGCAAGGTTGCCAAGAAGCCTGTAGCAAGGGACAGGGAGACATGATCAAGTATGGATTCTGACCCTCAAGTTGGAAGTTCTGTGGAGAAGGGGTCCAGACAGCTCTACAGATGGGCATCAGCTAGGAACTGAAGGCAGAAGGTCAGCCTTCAAAAACAAGGCAGGGAGGAATGGGGAAACAGTTAAAAAACAGGGAATATGAGGTGCCTGCACCTACACACACTGTATATATACACACGCTATGTATACACTGTGTATGCATATGAGAGTACACTATATGTACAGCCATGTACACTTTGTATCTGCTACAAATACACTGTGCATAATGGATCTACTCTTTTTATACCTATACAAACTATACATGCATGTAAGCACACTGTGTATGTGAGCATATTGCATCATGAACACCATATACACAAATATATACACGCACACCATTCTTCACATACCATAAGTATATGTACACTGCCCACATAAGTCACACACATGATTTTAATGTGGTGTGGGTGGTACAGAGTTGACTTACATGTTCTAGGCACCAGTTAGGCAGTTTCTCTGAATCTATGTCCTCATCTGTTGTGGGACTCTGAAGTCTACACGTAGGTGGTTAGGAAACCAGGATCAGAGGCCAAGCCCACACACATGAACTGGAGGCCCACGAGGATGGACTGAGGCATGTGTCCACTTCTATTGGGGATGAGGTTTCTGTGAAAGGGAGGGATCCTTGAGACAGATCTGGATGCACACTCTTGGCCAGGGGTCAGGGAAGCTAGACAAGTAAACCTTTAGCTCCTGACCCACAGCAGCAAAGCTGAGTCGATAGGACTGTGTGTATGTGTACAAAACTACAGGCCAAGTGAGTGGGTAGGTCAGCAACCCTGTCTGAGCATGATGAACGTATGTGTGAGCTACAGGGAAGTAAGCAGGCTGATGACCACGTGTCAGGTCAGTAGCTACAGGTATGAACCACAGGAGTGGGCAAGCAGGTTAGAGACCATGTGTGTAGGCCTCAGGGTGAGTTGGCAACCACAGATATGAACTGCAGAGTACCACAGTTTCTTCCTCTTTCACCAGTCATCTCCTTGTATCCTTTAGAGAACTTGCCTCATGACACAATCCACTGGAACCATGCAAGAAATGGACCCCTGCGATGTGGTGCTGAAGTACCAGAGGACAGACAGAACCTCTGCTGAGCTATAGTGAGTTCTCTCTGCTCTGGTCCATCATTATGGGTTGCACACTTCCCAATATATGTGATTTGTGACTGTCACCTTATCTAGCAAAGAACAAATGACATTACTGTGAGAAACGGTCTTTGCAGACAAAATTAACGTCTTAAGGTGCAGAGAGGTCCCTAGTTTATCTGCGTGGTCTCCACATGCCATAATAAGAACTTTTATAGAGAGCACAGATGGACAGATGGACAGACAGATAAACAGACAGACATGTGGGAGAGCATACTGTGTGGCTGAGGAGGCAAATTGCAGTCATTGATCACAAGTCAGGAAATGTCAATCACATGGAATGACCCTGTGTTCTCCAGCAGAAGGGACCCTGCTAACCCTCAATTTCAGATTTCGGTCACCAGAATTTAGGAGAAAATATCAAAAGACACAAAGTGCTATGCTGGGGTCACTTGTTCAGGGATCATGGAAAACAAACGGAAACTTTGGTATCTGGGAGCAGAGGGCTGCTTGGATGGTACTGGAACACATGAACATGCAAATGCAGCTAAGACAGTACTTAACCACACGTCAGAATCTTGGATTTAGGTAATCAGGCATGGGAACACATTGAGATACATCACAGAAAAGACCATAAAGCCCAGAATAGATTGTTGATGGGTATCAAGGATTCTTCCAAAGAGGTCTGAGAAGGAAACGGTAGTTATTAGAAACCAGAGGGCAGGCAACCTTGCTATATGCAGGTGGACCTGGTGCCAAGGTCAAACAGCAAATTGTGTAAGTGGTTAATGTAGATATTTAGCTGAGGATATTTCCAAGCCAAGTATTAGAGATGTGGCCTGTTTTCTTTTTCTGCTTGCAAGAGGTGAAAGAGACCGTTGAGGAAGGCATCAGTAAGCCAAACACAGCCTATCAAGATTGCAAAAGATGCTGCTCTGTGATTTCTCTTGTTAAAAAAGCGTGTCCTGCAGAGACAGCCTAATCAACTGCTGACTTGTGTGATGGGGCATGCGATGCACAGAGCTGGTCAGCCTTCTCAGAAGCAGCCTGGGACAGAGACGAGGCATTAGAGAATGACCCAAGACTTTGTCTCCTTCGTGATGTGAGTTCCTGTGATATGCATGAGAAATCCACGTGATTCCAGAGCCATTCACGGTAGGAGGGGTGAAAGTGTGATGTTTTGAGTGAGAAATGCTTCCTCCTGCTCTCCCGGGTTCACAGATTTGATCACTTGGTCCCCAGTCAGTGATGTTCTATAGGGAGGCATGGGAGGCGTGGCCTCATTGAGAGAAAGGGTCACTAAAGATAAGTTTATACAGTGTAAAGATTTGGGCCATTTTCAATGGTTCTTTCTGTTTCTTGTGTGAGCTCTCGGCTTCCTGCAGCTACAGCCATGCCTGCTGTTTCCTTCTATTCCTTACCTTCATCATGGGAACTTATCTCTCTGGGATACAATCCCAAATAAACTCTTCTGTAAGTTACTCTGATGGTGACATTTTACCATGGCAATAGAAAGGCAACTTAGACAAAGAAAAATAAAGTGGGGATATCTGTACTTTCCAGGTAAGGAATGGGCTGATAAGACTCATGAGTTGCTAGGATACTGCCCTTCGGAGAGAGAAAGGGGACTTGAGGGTGGCCTGGTATCCAATGAGACCTTTGTGGTCTACAAGACAGGGTACCAAGCTGTAGAGTTCTTACCCAAAACCCTAGTCCCTAATTAAACTTGCCTGGCAGGATCTCAGACTTGCTGATAGGTTTCTCTTTGATTTCTTCTATCATCTCCTCTTTGGGAATGAGAGTGCCTGTAAATGTCATCTTCTGCCCCCTATGCCATAGCGCATTGGCAGCATGGTCCAAGGTGGATCCTGCCAGAGTCTGTTCTGGGTGGTTTAGATGGGGTGGGGGGGGCGTTTCAGGAGCTAATGGTTCTCTGTACAGATACGTACTCACTGGTGCTGACCTCAGATGTTGGGGTGGGTGGGTGTGATGGTCAAGCTTGCTTGTCAATTTAATGGGATTAAAAATCAGATAAGAAAGGGCCTGGTGGCTGCAGGTCAGGTAAGCAGTCACTGCTATGCCCACTGGCGTGGAAGAAACATCTACTGGGTAACTGGCAGGCTCTAAAGCCTGGGGGTCATCCTGAGGGAGGCCACAGCTGGCCTCTCTGTTGGCACAGGCACCCTGGACACCAGGGTTCTGTGTGGACCCAGTTAGAGTCCCCTGGCCCAGGAAGATCTTGGTGACCTCCACTGTTCAGGATTTTGATCTGCTGAGCTGTGTTTCTCAAAGTGGAGGTGGTACTCCCATCCCTCCTCTCAGACTTTCTGAGTCAGATCCTGCTGTGTCTGACACAGCAGACATCCTCGACGTTTAGATGGCTTGATACAGATGGCTGTGCAGGAGCCCTGCCTTCAACCAACAGAGGCCTCAGTGGGCACATTTGAGGAGTGCCATCACAGGAGCTGGCCTTGGCTGCAGTCTCCAGCTGGTAGCCGATAAGGTCTGGGACTGTGATTGTTCCAAAGTTTCTGAATGCTTTAAGGCAAATTTTTGATGTCAGAGAGAATGATGGCAGGCCATGAAGCAGAAGTGCTAGATGTCTACAGCCTGGCCATGGGTGGCTGCTTTTACACAGCCCAGCAGAAGTCTTTGTGCTGCTTTAAAGTCTCTATGCAGGCATCTATGTTTAGTGGTAATTTCCCTCTAAAAACAGATAAATCCAGGGCATGTGTTATTGACCAGGATAAACATCCATTCAAATACATTGGGACTACCTCCATGGGGTGGTTCATAATCTCCCCTGCCCCATGAGCAGACTCAAGCCATCCTGCGGGAAAAGAC